CCTAAAACATCCCCTCACTTCAGCTTGAGACCCTATAGAAGGACATGGTGATTTCATCATGGTAAGTTCACTGTAACCACCCACATGCTTGATCCCACAGGCACCAAGATGTGTGTGTCCAAGCAGCCTGGCCAGGACTGTGTGCTACAGAGGACAGGAGCAATGGTTGCTGAGTCCTCCCTACATTCTGCTTGCTTGGTGATAGCAAGCTGGCTTTTGGATACCTCTTTTGTACCCTTTGGGATTCAGCAGGACCTGTGGTTCTGTGTTTTGTCTCAGCATCCTGCTTCACCCTTCATAAATCTTAAATAAGGCTGCCTGTTGTCTTTTCCTGGTTTGGGGCACCTTGGCTGATACAACGTGAAGAGGAATGGCACACACCACATTCTCCCTCTTGCTACCAAAGTGCAGGTCTGCTGCTGAGAAGGCAACTGTACCATGGCCATTTGGAGCTCAGGCTTCCTGGGCTGGGTGGAAACAACACAATTCTCAGCATCTTCCCACTTCATTGCTGTCAGTCACATCCCTCTTTATCCATACGTGCTGCTCTTTGCTCAATTATTTCTTCTGCTGTTTTATACATGCATGTTTCTATTCATACTTCATTTGTAGCAGTTTTCACATTTCTTCTACCAATCTTTGTTCCGCATATAAAAACTGCTTTGCATATTCTTATATTGAGGCTTTTGCATATTCATCCTCTATTTTTTCCTGCTCTTCTGCCACCTTTCCCCCTCTCCTGGCATGCAAACAGTAGATGACCAAGTCTTGTACCTTTGATGGAGAGATTTGCCAAATGCTCTTTTGGAGGAAAAAAGAAGAGGGAGAGTATGAGGCATTTCGCAGTGCATCAGGTGTAGGAGCTACGAAATGGCAAGTACTGATCTTGGTCTCCATGACAGCAATGATTAAATGTTACTTTTTCATCAGTTTGTGAATATATATTTTCACAGTCTCTTTTCAGACAGCGTGAGCTCGGAGGTGGTAAGTTTTCCAGCTTGTCCTTTGCGTAGGATCCTGGAAGGAAAGCCAGACTGGGTAGTCAGCCCCGGGCAGGGTGGGACAGCTGAGCTTGGGTTAGGGATGGCATCTGTGCAGACCACTGCGGAATGTTTTAGTGACTTATAAAACCAGGGTGTTGATTTGAAATCAGCCATGTATTTGAAGAACAATGTGTGAAACATATTTCTGTACTTGCAGCATTCTAAATGTGGAGGATGGTAAAGTGTGTTAATGAATTGGAGAAAAGATTATATAAAAATAACAAATGTGAGGGGATCAGCAATATGTTCACTGATGTCATTCACTGGTGTCCTATAACCAGAGATGTCTGCATTAGAGAGGTAGTGTTTGCTTTTGCTCCCCATAAAGACAGCTCCAAGGAGCCTGCATTTTCTTGCAATGATTATAATCAGAGTCCTTTAGAATGAATGCGCAATTCGGCAGAAACTACACTAGAAGAAAAAAAATCTGCAGTAATTGCTGGGCATCTATTTAATGCTGTTGAACTAGTCAGGCACCTCATCTGTGTATAATAAATCTTTCCAGGTCAGGTTTTGGTAATTCATAAAGTGGTCCAGTAGCTGAAAGCTTGGGACACAGCATGAACTCTGAAACAAAATACTTCATGTTGTATTTTCTTTTTCTGTGTACTACTTTGTAATGTAGGCTTTAAACTCTGCTCTGTCTCTGCTGTCAGCTTGAACAGGATGGAACTGAAAATAAGGAATTTTGAGTTGTTTTTTTTAACAGAGTAGTAAATGCTGTACGCTAGCAATGTGTGTCACTTGGAGCATGCAGAAGCCCAGGGTGCTCATCTGGGAGGCTGCGGGTGACTGCTGCTCATGCCAGCCTGTGTGAGACACTTAAACATTTCCGTGTGAGTAGCATTTCAAATTGTTGGGTGGGTGTGCAGTAACAGTTATTCAGGGCGTTGAAAGGTGTCACGTGCAAGGCAGCAAACCCAAGAGCCAGTGTGGTGGCTTCATTGCACTGGAGCAAAGCGGGTGCTCAGGGTGGGCAGCCCTGTTCCAGGCATGGGGAGGGAGGTGCATCTGGTTTCCCAGGGCTGCAGAAGCAGTGGTTGTAGTGAAAGGAGGATGGGATTGAATCCTGCTCTCCAGAGCTTCAGAATCCACTTGTAAGCCTTCACCAGTGACAGAGGCCTAGCTGTGAAATATTTGAGGAGGGTATGTGGCACGGGGAATGTCTCCCTGTGGGAGCAGCACTCCTGGTTGAGTGCCACCTGCAAAGAGGGAGGGGACAGAAAGTTGTTTTATCCCACTGGAGTCAGGGATATGCTGTGGTAGTAATTATTTGTAATCTAGACATACCACTGCGAGTTTTTTCCTGAACAAAATGCTTCTTGAAATGCACTTAATCCATTTTTAACATTACCTAATCTCAAGAATAATCTAAAGTACTCTAAAAAAAAAATTAGACAAATAGAGAAAAATTTTGAATTTTAGGTTCAATTACATTTAAAATTCTGGGATGAAAACAAGAAATGCTGTCATAATTTACTTAAAATATGCCTACAGCAACATTACAGAATCAATTTTACTTCTACTCTTGATTAATTTATGTAATTAATGCAAGATTCATTCATATGAACTTGTGAATTCACCTTGCCCTCATTTGTATTTTCCCCCTGTGGTTGTTTTGTATCTTTAACCTTAGTCTGTTATTTGTGTTTAAGAAAATGCATGTACTAATGGGAAAACTCACATCCATTTGAAAAAGTGTCTAAGGCAGAGCTGTGCTGCCCTCTGAACATTACTTGGGCAGCCAGGAAGGCAGGAGGGGATTTGTGTTTAGGGACTGATGAATGCAGTGAGCATCTCCTTCCAGCTTGTGTATACTGACAGTGCCTGAGGCACACACAGCTGGGAGGGACAGTGGTTCTTGGATGCAGCTGTTAAATTCTGTATTGTCACATATTTCAAAGTGACTTCTATGGGGCTTTTTTCAAGAATTAAACTTCATTATCACCCTGTTAACAAGACGGTCAGTCTGTGGAATTGTGTGCCTCAGACTCAGTGCTTTGGTCTCCTCCTTTCATCGCCCCTCGAGCTGCAGTTGTGCCTTATCACGTTTCACATGCCCAAGTCTCCCCATTTCTGATTTGCGATGCTTGACCCTCCTGCCCGGGAATGTGACGTACAATGCCTGGAGGTTTGGTCGCCTGGTGTGCATCAGTCCGAAGGCAGGCTGCAGACCTGCCCTTTGGTCCTTGTTTTGCTCTTTGACTGGTCCCTCTGATTCCCACACTGCCCTTTGCTCTGGAAAGGTTTGAGAACAAACCATGGAAATGCAGTTCATCATGAACTTAGTAGTTGTTTTATGTTTATAGACTATCCTTCTTTTTACTAGAAACAGGTTAATCAGGCAAGACCAGTTCTACTAGTTCTGTGTGCTTTGGGAGGAGCTGGTGGGGTGGGAAGTGAGAGTCCTGCTCAGCCCTTCATCTGGCACGACATGTGAGGGGAGGACTGCAAAACAGAGGTGTGTTCCTCAGGGAAAGGTGCTGCCAAGATGGTGCAGGTAATGGAGAGCCCACAAAGCTGAGCTCCAGGCCAGCGTTTCCCACCTCACAAATGAGCTTTGGATCCAAATTCAGTAACACCTGTGAAATTACACGAGAACAGCAAATGCATCTGCATTTGTCTACTTCAGTGTTTTAGTCAGTCACTGAACATTATAGGTCTGACATAACTCAGAAAAAGTTCCACATACGCATTACTTCAGATTTGAGATAGCTGCATTGCTGTTGCCAGAAATAAATTTGCCTAAGCCTGTGTCTTCCCCACAGGGGGCTGTTATCACATGGTTCCATTCTATTTTTCTGGCCTTATCTCTTAATTAACTAATCTCTAATAATGCTCTTTCTTTTTTTTTTTTTTTTTTAAATAAGCATTTGTGATCCGTCCCCATTTTCCATTGATTATGCTACAAGAAGTGTCGTCTGTTTTTTACAAACCAACCAAGTCGGGTGTAAATAAGTAACTGTTTTGCTGGGATCCTTTTTTCTTTATATCAGCCTTTAAAATCTCCCCAGGCCATTAGCTAGGAAGTACGTGTGGTGCCTGTGAGCCCGATATAGCATTCCCATGCGCTTTGCTAAGCTGCACACATGTATTTGTGTGGTATTACAAAATGCCCAAGCTCATGTAATGCATGGAGGCTAATCTTATCAATTGTATTAAGGCTACTTAAGAACTAATAGCTTTAAGGAAGCTGTTTATATTTCCTCCTTTAAAGCACTTTAGTCAATGTTCTGTGTCCCTTCAAATAAATGTCACCAGTAAAATAGTGTACTTTTTGTCATTTCTTTAAAAAGTGATGTTTCTTAGGAGTTGACACTTCAAGGCCTTGGGCTGGCTCTCAGATCTGTGTACTTGGATTTAAGCTGGTAATCCATATGGAGGTACCTAAAAAGAAGTGGCCTGGTTTGCATGAATTAAGCTCACATCCTTCTGAAGTTTATTAGTTTGAAAATCAGGGCATGGCTCTGGAAGTCGTCGGATTGCTGCAGGCAGATTTGACTGTGGGAGCTTTAGACTTAAATTTAAAATAAGAACAATGTGTTCTTTTGAATGTTCATTGCAAGTTTGATTTAAATGGGGGGGGCGGGGAAAGAGGCTATAAACCCTGCTTAGCTGATTGTCAAAGATCCTGAGGATGTCAGTGGTTTCACTGGTGGAGCATGACCAGGAGACCATCTCCATGGCTGTGAAGATGTTTTAATTCCTATGTACTGCAAAAGGATGTTATTCAAATAGTACAGCAAATTCGTTTCTAGTAAGAGGCAGGTGATTTAGGAGTCCATTTGCACATCCTGACCTTAGCTGGGTACATGAAAAGAGGAAAGTTTGCTTTCACTTAGAGCATTACATGGAGGCAGGGAAAACCTTCCCACCCACAGGAACACATAAAACAGGTCCAAAAAATGAATTCAGAAGGAAAAAGGCAGTAGTAATGCAAATTAGAGAAATCTGTATTAAACTGTATATATTTAAACATTTTCTTTAAAGAGATCTTTACTTGCCATACAATTTTAATACCTAAATTTACATTTGCAGTCAGCAGAAATATCTTTATCTAGAACAGCATTTGCAGTGTCACAAGAAAGTATATGTAAGATCGGATGAGTGATATATTACATGATATATTTTACAAAGCAGTCGTATAACAGTCTTGTGGTAATCGTGTTACAAAGATCTCCACCAACCAGGAGGCTTTATTTTAGACACTGTTTTTTCCCTGGTTCCAGTACTGTTCATCATAAACCTGTCTCAGATGGTCTCTTTACCTGACTAATACCATTGCTCTGGGAACTGGCTTCTCAATGCGGTGTTGAAAGAATAATTTGACAATTTGTTATGTTGCCGTAGCAGCAAACTGAAAAAAATATAGACCACAAATAACTGGGGAGTCCTGTCTAAATTAATGGCCTAAACCAGATTTCTAGGGCAGCAATAAATCTAGATCTCTTTGAAAAATCAGATGTCTAGTCAAATAACTGGTATAGATCACAGCACGCTGAAGTCTCACAAGGAAAAACTGTAATTAATCCTTGTAACGCAGCTCCTATCCACACGTGACTCCTCTGAAAAGCTCTTCTCTGATACATGTGGGCCACATCGTGTGCCATCCACAGTCCTGCTCTTCTCTAAGGTCCAGCTGGGAGGGGCAGCCGGCCATAGCAACGTCTGACTGAGAAGGGAGGAGTTGCTCTGGTTCGTACGGTTCTGCCATGCAGAGTGTCCCTCAGCAAAACAAGAGATGATAGGCTGTGGTGAGTAGCAAATTGGCTTTTTGTCGGTGCCCATGTTCTAGACAGTCTTATGCACAAAAGAAGAGAGTGACTTTAATTTATTGTAACTAAATTCGTTATCGTAAGTTTAAAGCTTTGGCCAGCTTTGAAAAAGTGAAAGGACACCACAAATACCTGTCAAAATCAAACCTTGCATGCAGATGGCCTGAAACAGCCTGGCCACTGAGATAGAAACTATGGCTTGATGTTCAGACACGTCCTTACCTGTCCTGCCTTGAACTGGTCTGTCCATCCTAGAAGGAGTTTGAACAAAAGCCAGAGAAGCTGAGCACTGCTGGGGCAAGTGCACAAGTGATTAAGAACAAAAACCAGTGGGCTGTGCAATGATTAGGCAGCTGCAAACATGGCTTACTTTGAAGACCAGCCAACGGAAGGGACCTACTGAGAAACCTCTCCGAGGTACACCTTGGAGCAGTAGAGGGTTTTCCCATCCAGAGTAAAAATAAGCATGGTGCCTGGCTTGCAGCAGAGGGACTGAGGTGTCTGCAATAATTTGTGCATGACTGGGGCTTGTTCTCTTGGGTTTCTTTCCCTTTAGCTGAAGTTATCTGGCAGCTGAAGAAAAACTCAAGATGATGCTCTGTTGCCTTACTAGAGGCTGTGCACCACAGCAAACTCTTTCCATGCTTTATTCCAACATGGTATAATGAGAACAGGATCCTCCAGCTATGAGAGTATGTTTAGAGAGATGCAGACTCAAAATGTGCCTTCCCATTGATTTAAAAAATATAATGGCAGGTACCCTATCACCGATAGAAAAGTAAAATTTGCAAAATTTTGCACACTGAGGATTGATTTAAACTTAGTTTTCCCTGGCCTGAAAGTTTGAGGCTTGATGTACTTGTGGATCGATGGTATCCATTTTCCAGGACCCTGAAAAACATTTAAAGTGTGAGTTCCAAGGGGCCATTTTGATTTTGGGTTTCTTTTCTTTTCTTGCCTTAAAAATAGTTGGGCTTGAATATTCTGGAGCAAGCTATGAGGTTACATACTCTGTAAAATGTCCAGAGTAACAGTAACTGGCACATGCTCATAGCACGGATTTGACCCACTACAGAAAGAATCTTCTAAGCTTCTGTGTAGAATTTAAATACAAGGTGCAGCGTAAGTCTACAACACATGCATTCAAGATATACAGCCTGCAGAAAGCCCTGAGAAACAAACCCCATGAATCTTACCTTAATGTTGTTTTCATGATGCTTGGCTGCTTCATTAAATTATGATTTTTTCTTAGTGTATAAATTCTCAGCATAAGTTTGCATTTGTTCTATGTACATCTTAAGAATACAGCAGAAAATACCATTGCTTAGCACATTAACAAAAATCACATTATATGAGAGGTTTGTCAAAATACCTGTATACTAAGTTATATACAATTCTAGAAATCCTCCTTCCTTTCAATTCTAACATGTTACTCTCCAGAAACCCAATCTGTTTGTCTTTAAAAGCTGAAATATAGAAATTGTACTGATAAAACATCTTGAACAAAAAATATTAACTTTTCAAATTTCACTTTTAATTTCAAAATAAGGTGGAATGGATCACTGTGTGATGCCAGCAATTTTTTTTATTTTTTTTATTTTTTTTTTAATTTTTAAACTAACTTTCCCTGATATGAGAACACGTGAATATTGTGAGTCCTAGTTGGGATCATATCCCCAAAAAGATATGGATATGGTGTACTCACATTGCGGATAAGAGTATTATCCCAAGGTGCACTATGTTGTATGCTCCCATATACAAAAAAGAACATGCACAGAAATGTGTATTCTGATGGTTGATACATAACTTTTAAAATGTAGATATTCACAATTCTCAGTTTGTTTTATTTTTCTCTGAGGAAAAAGTCCACATCAATTAGCAGCTCAACTGACCGTTGTGATGGCTGGCGTCTTCCCTCCTTCCTCTCCTTCGGCCCCTTCGGCTCCTGCTTCCACCTGATTGAACTTACCAAGCTTTTTCAAATTCTCCAGTGCAGATTTAAAAGTGTCCTTCAGGCTGTTCTCCAGCACCCACCCTTCACTTTCACATTCAGGGTCTTCGGGGTTTGGAATGCTTTCCAGAGAGGTGTGTAGAAGGCGCAAGCCAATCATCACCGATATCTGTGCCAGGCAATGGAAGACAGAGAGTGTCAGCCAAACATGGATACTCCTCCTCCATCCTCACTGTCCTCTGCTATCAGCAGCCCTGGCTGGTGGTGTGAACCAAATGCCAAAGGAACCAACTTGCCACAGCTTAAGGGCTGTGAGAATCCTCTGAACAAGAGGAGATCCTGAGCAACCTTCCCCCTTGAGATGCCCAGGAGGAAAATGTCCCTTCAAGAGTAGGAAAGAAGGTGGAGTTCTGAAATGGGTGAGCACCACGGGAAGCATGACACTCAGTCAGCAATGAGTGGAGGTATCACCTTATGAAGGAAGTACGTGCTGGCTGCTGTGGAACAGCACCTTTGAAGGGCCATGTGCACAAGGGACCATTCTTCATGGCCCCTCACAGGGTCAGTGCCTCCTGGGAGGTTTCAGTGCAACCCCTGCTCCTCTACACTAGATATCCATAAAGCAGTTTTTATGTGGAACAACGTCCTTTGCCACCATCCACTTAATTTTAACTCTAAATATTTTTACTTTGCATTGACCTTAATATGTTTGGTGAATATATTAAGCTGATCAAGGAAATATTCATGAATCAGCATCTCTGCAGAACAGAGCAGCATTAGGATTTGAGCCATCACTGTCTACTTCAAATTCTGGTTTTGTTTTTATATAGGGATGTGCATATAAGGAAATTAAAGCAGCAGGGGTATCTCTCACTGGTTCCATCTAAAACTCATATCTATTTCAGTTAAATATTACCAAGTCCCAGCAGCCCTGAATAAGGTGGTTTTTTCTACTGTATTTTGCTGGTGTAACACCTCTGACACTGGCAACACCCCACACCTGCCTCCAGAGAGAAAAAGTGGTTTTAACCAGTCTCCTCCTTTCTAACACTGTTCAGAACAATCTGACCTCCACTGTTGTGGTGCTTATGAAGAAAAGTAATCAATCAGATTGAAGCAGAGAAAAAGAAAAGGCAGTACCCAGAAGAGCCAGCCTGGTGACGTGGTAGAGCAGGTGGTCAGGATGGGACAGCAGTAAGATTAGTTTAGTCTTTCACATGCTGGGTAAAGCTAAGATTGAGAACATTTAATGTTGTCCATGACCTCGTAGGATTTGTTCTGTAAGGGAAGTACAATGCCCCCACTACCCTATCCAAATTACCACAGAACTGATTACTTCTGGTCCTCCTAAACCCTAATGGCTAAAGAGGGCAGCAGATTTGAAGTTGGGATTCAGCCACATAGCATGGCCAATGGCAGTATTCACATCTGGCCTTTGGCCTCGAGGGACTGCTCAAGCATGTGCTTCCACGGACCATTCATTAGCCTGTCTACTGTGGTCATCCTACTTGTGTAGAATCAGTGTCTCTAAACTCTTGGAAGACCAAACTACACTTGGTTACTCTCAAAATTTGCAGATGTTCGTATTTCTCTGTCTTCGTTCAAGATCAGAAAGGGAAAAACGTTGGTCAAACAAACAAGCTTCATCAAATACTTCCATATCCAAAGGCAAATTTTCATACTTTCTAACATAATGCATGACTTGCCACACACTGGTCCTCAAGGAAGTTTCTAGTGGCCCTCACTCTGGAAATAATCTTATCTAGCCTATACTATGATGACTTGAATTAGTTGAAGCACTATTCCATAAAAGTCATCAGAATTGACAAATCCCGTCACATTAGTCTTGAGATTTAAAGTCTTTGACATCTTCCTTCCTCTCTGAGTCACAGTTTTCCTGTTCTCAGTCACAGGACTGATATCTTCGAACTTCAATGCTGTTGCCAGTACAAAATAACAGGGCTGGATGCAGAAGGTGGCCTCCATGTTGCTCTCTACTTGTGCTGCCTCACTGCATGTCAGCAGGAGTTTTGTTTTGTGATTGACTTGCCAAGTCCCACTATTTGACAGCTGAAGTAGCTGTTCTTGCAGGCTTCCTGGCTGGCTCTAAGTCACTAAATATGGTCCTGCTTTATAAAGGGAATGTGCCTGTGCAGCAGGGAGCAACTGACCAGCCTTCAGATGAGATTTTGTGACATTTTCTCTCAGTTTAAAACATTGTTTTCTTAAAAATCTTGCTTAGAAAGATTTGGGGTCCCTGAAGCTGAGATTCCTTAAAAGCAGTGCAAAACGTTTGGGCTCTTGTCACCTCCACTGACCCGAGCCTGAGGAGAAGAGAATCCAGGAAGTTTGAGACAAGTATCTGGTAAATTTTTCTGTCTCCTATATGATCACACCAGAGACTTGGACTTGGACTTGGACTTGGACTAACAGTTTTGCTGAAGTCTTGCACCAGGGAAGGCATAACTTGATGCACCAGTATATGCTGGGGGTGACTGGCTGAAAGTAGCTTGGCAGCAAAGGACCTTGGGGTCCCGGGGGACACCAAGTTGTCCATGAGCCAGCAGTGTGCCCTTGTGGCAAGTGGGCAAATGGTATCCTGGGCTGCTTTAGACAAAGAATTGCTAGCAGGATGAGGAATGTGATATTTCTCCTCTACTCAACCCTGGTGAGGCCACAGTTAGACCTCCAGCCTTAACCAGTCTGTGACTCTGAGCTGTAAAGCTGAGCTTAACTGCAATCCAGCAGAGAAGGCCGGGGCATCAGGGCCCCAGCGCTGGTCCAGTCTTGCTGAGTGATGATTTCCCTGGCCAACAGACAAACTGTCATGGAAACTCTTGTCATTTTACATCAACTTTAAAGCAGCAGGAAGAACACAGCCACAGTGTTTCTCCAGGGCTAGGGATGGACAGGGTGAGCTGGTGTATCCCCTGCACCACAGCAGGCTCAGCCCCTCAGTCTGGGCCAACAGAGCGAACTGTGTCCATCTGGAGTGTCCCTGCTGCCCGTGGCCTGGTTTTGAAGATTACCAGTTCACTCTCCAGCACAGGACGTGTAATGTGCCTCCTGCTCGTGTCACTGCTCTCCTGGAGCTCAGTGCTGGGCTCCCTCTGTGGCACCACATGTGAGGTGAATTGCAGGGTCTTGGCCTTTGCAGTAGCTGTGACCTATTGCAACCCATGTGTTTGTACAGGTGAAGGACCTGGAGCATCTCAGGAACGAGCCTCACTCTATTCCTTTTGAAATGCTCTATTCAGGGCACCCTTGAACCCCTCATTTCCTCTTTGCTGGCTGAGGTGGGTCAAGAAGACATCCAGGCTTGCTCTGCTTGACCTTCTGCAGTGAAGCCCATCTGTTTGCCAGGGTTTAGCCTGAGGCGGCTTAGCTAGAGCAGGGTGTGATCTTTTTTTGTCACCCTCATGACCAGTTGTCACTCATGGGAAGCCTACAGCTTTTGTTAGTAAAAGCAGCATCTAGATAATACATTATCATTCTTTTCAAATAGAAGTTTTGATATTCCAAAACAGGTTCATTCTTCCTTGCCCTTAATATAGAAAGGTTAAACGTGAACGGCCTTCCCTGAGATCCCTACACGTTTGGCACATTATGTTTTCCTACAGCTCAAAATAACAGCTGTGATTAGTGTTTCCCTCCACGCTCTGCCCCCTCCCCACACCGCAATACCAACAACCCTGCTGGAGGAGTTCTCTGCGGCCCTCGGAAGGGCTTTGCTGGCTTGAACTCACAGTGGCGCCAGGTACAAAGCAAACCAGGATGCTCCTTTGCTTCTGCACTTTTCTGTAACTTCCCAGAAAGTCAGTCCAAGGGGAAATGAGAAGCACAGAGCCAGCACAATCACTGCCCACTGGACATACCCTGCTCAGATCCAAACTTACCTTGGCCAGGATTTGGGACTTCTGCTGCCCTCCTACTCAGTATAAAATTGTTTCCTATCTTGACTGGAATGTACTAAATTATGTCTGCTTCCTGCTTGGCTTCCTCCCTTCAGTTTGCCTTAAAAGCAGAGGGAGTTTGAGACCCAAATCTGGACCCTTTATGGAGGACTATCAGGCAAGTCATAAATATTTAGGAGAGCAAGTTATTATAACCCAGGATTGTGTTGTTTGTTAAAAGCTTTGCCCTGAGAGTCCTCTGATTGCCTGGAAAAAAGTCTCATCTACTATTTTGAAAAAGATGAAGGAAAGAAGATATCTTATTTCTCATTATGCCACAGGTTGAAAAAAATACCCAGATGTACTTTGAAGAATTACACATAAAATACTGCATTTTTATCACTGCTATTAATGTTAACATATCACTGTCATTAACCTCTTACAAGTCAGCAGAGGTATGTTACAGGTGCCTAATCAAGACTTTTTGCAGCTGGCATTAGTATTTTTGTGCATTTTTCCCCTGAGTTTTTGAATTTCTTCATGATTTTCACATATACCTGAAATACCCTTCTCTTAAAGTACTCTGCCCTTGAATCTGGATTGAAATATGAGCTTCTTTTTTTTTTTTACCAGAATAACAGCATTACAGGGAGGTAGTACAGTTCTCTGCCATTCAGAGTAGTTATTTTTAAAACAACACAACACAGAGTAACTTTATGTTTTTTTTTTTCAATTTACAGATTATCTGGGTAGGTGTTTATTTTCTAAAAAGAATCTCCATTCCTGGAAGGCTGTATCAAAACATAGTGCATCTTTTTTCAATTTGCATGTATCTAAATATTTTAAAAGCCAGCTGAATCATTTAAAATTGGCAATGCCACTTGCAACAGCCATTTCAAGGATTGGAAAGGGTCTGCTGCACTCTGTGTCACACAGTGAGCTGTACCCTCACCTCTGTCCTCTGGTCCTGCCTTACCTCCTCATCCAGCACCTCACATGCCAACTCTTGTGCCACTGCCAGCCCACGCTCCCTGAGTATTAGTATTGATTAAACCCCAGCTAGAAAACTGGCCACCTCCCAGAGGCAGGAGGGCATGTTTTCCTCACACTGAATCAATAGTATTTCAGGAGCAAAGCCGCACTTTGGGTTATGGTGCCCACAGACACCAGCAGTATTGGCAGCTGTTTGCATACGCATAGTGGTTTTGAGAAGCAGAATAAAATAAATTTAATCCACCTGCTCCGCCTAAACCACTTTTTCTGCCCAAAAACCTTGGTGGATCTGATGAAAGACCTTAAACCAAATGCTGCCCTGAAGCTGGACACTGTGCATGGCTTTAGGTCTTATTTTCATCAGCAAGTAAACCTCTTGATTGCACTTTCCGTTCCACAAATTACTGCCAACATTTTGTGTATTTCTCATTCCCCACAAATGATGACACGTGAAATTAATGCATCTGGACAGCAGAGCCCCCACTGTCTCTTCCCTGCTCAGCACCTTATATTTGGCAGAAAATCAGTCCCTTTTTCCCCTCTTGCTGTGGGATGCTTGAGGCTCTGGCCCCTTGCTCTGCAAGGGAGGTATGTAATCCCACACCCACTCTATGCTTCCCAGCTCTGTCTCCAGTCTGAGACCTTTTGGGCCTTATGCAGATGTTCACTATTAGATGTTCACTATTAGAAGTTTTCTCAGCTGGTGATTTATTTTAAATAGATTTGACCTTTAACTGAACAGTCCACGCTGAAAAACACTCTGCTCTGCCAGAGCTGGTGCTTCAGCGAAGTGGGGCTGAGAGGAGAGGGTTACCTCAAAAAGCCAGACGAGGAGGGTGACGGCACCCATGGAGCTCATCATGCCGCTGTAGTAGTTCAGGAGGGCTTCCCGACAGCCACGGTTCCACAGGTTGAGCTCCTCCGTTTGGTAGTCGTAGCTGTAGTGAGCTGAGTTGTTGGTGACCTGGTACTGGATGCAGGGTCTTGGGGAGCTCGGGTTGCAGCAGCTAAAGGGGACGCCGTCCACTAAGTACCTTCCGTCCACGTTGCTTTTGATCCGACTATGGGCAAGGGCAGAAGGAAGCGTGAATACACACATACAACACACACACCATACAAAGATATAGGGGAGCAAACTTGCACGAAGAAGGAAAGCAAAGACAAGGAGAATTTTCCACTGTGCCTCCTGACCATGCCATTCCTTCACATCCGCTGTTCATATGGTGGTGTTTGTCCTGGGTATTTCTCCTCTCTGAAATCCTTTTCTATGTCAAGGCTACACTGAGTCTGTAAATAACTCCTCATGACAGAAACGTGTGTTCTTGGGTCACTTCTTCAAAGAAATTAATTTTTAGCAAAAGTAAATGGCAGAGAGAAACTGTAGTAGGGGCAGTTAGAAAAGAGTGATCACAGCATAGTTAATGTGGAAGGGAGATGCTGGAAGTGACCTGACAGCCTTAGGACCCACCATATCCAGCTAGACCATTGATCCAGCAAAGCTAATAGCTTCTCTTTGATGATAGTAGCTCCAGAGAGGGGTTATGCATTTATTCTTGGCTTGGGAAGACAGCCAGTATTTGAAACATGAAATGTGCTTCAGCAAAAGGACGTTGCAAAATTTCCCAAATTCCTTGCGGGAACTTCCCAGCTACTGTTCATTTGACACTGTGGTTGTTCTCCATAAAGAGTCATTCAGTCTGGTGCCTTACAAGATGTTTAGGTAAGAGATACCTTAGAAGGCAAATAGTTCCACTGGCACTACATAAAAAAACTATAATAAGAGAACTGCAACTCTAACACACACCATTTTCCTTAGAAAATGACAGAATGGAAAGCTGCAGTGATCTAGAAAGGTGAAAAAAAATCTGAGTGTTACTTGTAGCTTTCTATATGGATAATATAAAATTGTGTCAGAGAGAGAGTGATGATTGCAACAGTCCGATAAAGGAAAATTCCACCTTGCAGTCATGACCCAAATATATCCAAACACTTGCAGTTGAAGTTTTATCTCTAGATGGAAAGTGTGCTCTGAATTAGGTCTAATTCACATTCATGTGTAAATGCTCCACCAGTTTCAGAGGGATTGGATCAGGCCTTCACTCTACAAATAATATAAAGATCACATTGTGGGGGACAGACTCCCACCTTCCCTGGAATTAAGGAGCGCTTTGCTATTGATTTCAAAGGGGCGGGACTATCCCACCAGGAATGTGAGCAGAGATTGTGTACCACCACGTAGTACAAATCTTGAATTCACTGACATCCATTTGTAGATTTTTAATGCCCTACTTCCTGCCTCAGTAGTACAAAGAAATTACCTTGAGTCTCAGTTCCAAACAAGGCATCAATTATTAAGGACAGTATAACCTTGTTTTCCCTCTGTGCATTGCCCTTCCACTGCTGCTGGATTAAGTTACAGCTCTCAAATCTCCATATAATGCTGGCAAGTTTTTTTCAAGGAGTTATTTATACCCGTGGGCGTATCTTCACAATGGAAATGCTCCGTTATTAAATAGAGAATGTATTTGTTACAACCCTGCAGTGCAATGGGTTAAGTCTGTAACAGTTTTCACTATGAAGTCCTCCCTCAGAATTGCAAAAACAACCAGACCACCCAACAAGTCAAAACAACATGCAGAGAGACACACAAGTGAAATACCACTTACACAATCAGGCCCGGACCCCAAGAGATACACCAAGCTTTTTTTAAAATTAATTCAGACATTTTTGACACAGGCAGTACATTTAAAAGGCACATTGCTTCCAGTTTACAGGACCCATTGTGCAACCATAGAGTATGAATGTTACAAGTAATGTTCCCAAAGAACCTTGAGTAACCATCTCTTTCTCTGATGCTTAATTTTTTAGAAGGTTGCGGGTATTTATGCCCAATGCTAATTTTTTAATTTCAAAGGTGCATTTTGTTCTTGTGTTTATTTTCTGCTTGAGCTTACTGCACCTAACCTGATTTTGGGATTATAGCCTCTTTGGGCAGTGACATCAAAGCCATTAAGGTGTTTCTGATCAACAATCTGCTCTGGTTTGTATAGAGGAAATAAGCGCTGGTTTCATGTGAGGTTTTAAAAAATTAGGCACAGGAGAGAACTTAAAATGCATTTGGCTACAAGGGCCACTGCGTAAAGCTAGGAACATCAATAGGTGTTGATGCTCAGTATTATCACAGTGCTGAAGCAATCCATCAAATGAATATAAAAACAAAATTCTAAATATTAAGGATCTAAACCACATAAATTATCGGTAAACTGTTACTGCTTCTATTTATTTCCACTAGACTGATTCATTGCCAATATCTTAAGTGGAGTTTTAGAAGTGGTATCAACAGTACATATCCAGGGAATTCTTTTTTTTAGGAAGTTAATAAATCACATCGAAATCTGCCTTAGGACAAGTGAACTTCTGATACTTTCCTATTCATTTTGGGAGTTGGTATGTGTGGCTCAACGTAAAAAGACAGTAAAAAATATTAAGTCTGTTTACATTGAGCTGAGTAAGAATATGCTTTATATTTCATGTTCTGGATAACTTCAGAGGAATTTGTCAGGGGAGGAGGCAATCTAGCTGATCGCTTGGTATGCTTATTATGCAAGAGCAGAGAAAGACCTCATTTCGTACAAATCCCCTTCCAGTCAGTGCCTGGGGGGACATACATTTCTTGAGGATAACACTGATCAAATAACGATGCTATGTGATACAAACCCCACTAAATCACTTACTCTTTCACTTCTTTGGAGCTGAAGTCCAGATATCTGTTGCTGATCCACTGAATTTCGAACCAGTCTTTGTAGCCGTTGTTCCCACAGCATTTGAACTCAATTTGGAGCATGTCGATGGTCTTCTTCATGAAGCATCTTCCAGGGGTGTCTGTGTCCCGGTAGAACTTCATGCCATTCTTGAGCCCTTGGGCCAGTGTGCTGTCCAGAGAGCCCCGCATGAGAAAGCAAATCAGAGCAACGAAGAAAACGAGGATGTTAAAGATGAAGCATAGTGCCAGGTAAGGTTTCAGCATAGGCTTCCACTTGGCAAATTTAGCGGGATCCAGAGAATCGTAACAAATCTTTCCAGCAAAACCATTGAAGGCGCAGGATAATATACCCATCAATATCAAAGAATTGGGCACAAAGTGGCTTTCATTATTGTCCATCACTTCGCTTCGCTTCCGGAGTTCAATTTTGAGGAACAATCCCATGCTAAAAACAAGGATTCCAGCAAACACTGAAAACCAGTTCATGAGCCATAGTCCCTGCGCTAGTTTTACCCGTTTCTTCTGATTGAATTTGACTTTCAGCAGTGCCATCTTTGTAATGGGAGGTGTTGGAAGATTTCACAGCCTGGACCCCTCTTCTCAGCGTAAGCAACTTGAGGAAGAACCATTCAGGCGTTGGAAGAGACCCCAAATGGCACATCAGGAAGCGAGCCACTGCAGAGTCCTTCCATCTTGAACTCCCCTGGTTAGGATTCAAGCAAGTAAAATATTCAAAGGTCCCAATTAACAACTTCACATTAGTGAGAATAATGGGCAATTAGCACCTACAACTATTTCTGGTGGTTTCTTCCAAGTAAAGGAGAAACGGTCTCAAGGTTTCAAATGATTTGATCTGGATCTGCAAGACGTCATTCTAATACCTTTAATCATTTGATCCAATTTGGAGAAATGTCTGTCAACAGATGAGTGGAAGTAATCCCTCATTTTACTATTTAGTAGATTTGTGCTCTCTTACGATAGGCTGGGCAGAATATGAAAACCCAAGATATAAAAAGATCTTTGTTGCCAGAAGAATATGGATCCTTTGAGGAAAGAGGAAGAAGGCTCTGGGTTAAAAAAGAGCCCTTAAAAAAGGCTGCTTGTATACAAACATATACTCCCCCAACATGATCCTGATTTATTCATATCTACAGCCAAAAACAACTTTCTAGTCCTTATCCTTCTGTGTTGACTTGAAATGACATCCTGTGGCTTATGTGTTCTGAAAGCAGATAAGCGTGTAGTTTACGGTGACCTAAAAAAACTAAGCTTGGCATTTTCTTGTACCATCTTGGGTTGTACCATCTCTGGATCTTGGCAGGAGAGGAGGAGAAAGGAAAAGTGCAGAGAAACTCAATAAATAAACCCTGGGCTGAAATCTAGAGGTGCTTTTATAAAAAGTGAGCTGGTACGAGCAGCTTACTGGATAATCACCAGGCCAGGGAGAGGAGCAGGGCTGGCCAAGGAGACCCCCCTGGGAGCTTACACCAGGGAGGAATTCAACTCAGCAGCTGGAGAGACACCTCAGGGGTCCTTGGGGTCTGCTGAGGCACTTGAAGCCTGGCTCCACTTTCATGCTGTAGTGGGCAGAAAAGGATAGGTGCAATCCTCTTCTTTGGCAGTGGCCTTCCTCCTCGTAACACACAGCTGTTTCCAACAAGCTGAGGTGCTGGGCTTTCACTCTCCCATTGCTTGAGGAGTTTTACTCGATTTGAAATATCATCTCCCACTCCCCCCTTGCCCCATAGATGTTCAGAGCTACTGGGAAAATCCTGAGGCTGGCTCACCTCCTGCCACCACAAAGCAAAATTAACCTCAGGCAACCTCCAACAATGGAAAATTAACCTGCAGGTGTGTGAGGACATGGGCGCTAATGCCGCAGGGGAGAAAGGAGCAGCCCAAGAAGGAGGACTGGGAGGTTTTGCTCCAGCCCTTCAACCAGACCTGCTGATGCCACAACCAGGATACCCTGGGGGCATCCTCTAGTGGCTGCCAGCAGTATGGCCACCAGCCTTCAAGAAGAGACAGGGGAAGGGGACCTGCCCAGGAGGAAGGCAAGTGTGAAAAATAATAGTAATAATTAAAAAACTCAAGCACTGAAGAATAGTATTTTGATGTCTGCTGCTGTGTGGTACTATGGGTGCTGCTCAGCTACCACTTGAGATCCTGGAATGCTCAAAGTCCTTTCAACAAGGACAAAAGCTAGGAAGCTGCTACTTCTTCCTATGCTAACAGAAGGTTTTTGTGGTGGACCTTTCCTGGCCCATCCTCGTGCTATTGCTGAGACCTGGAGAGCAGCTGGTAACTGGGATTTTTCTAAAGCAAGCCTGGTTGTTCACATTGCTGCTGCCCTTGCTAGTGAGCGGTGAGCGTGTAAGGGAAAGGAGGAAGGTGATTATCCATTGAGGCTGTTCTCTCTGCTTGCTGTGAAGTGGATAAGTGCTGTTTCTTGAGAGAGCCCATTAAATGTTTTTGAGCAGTAAGCCATAGTGCTGAAATAACATCTCTCCTGACTTCTTGGCAAAACATCCCACAACCATGCAGCACATGTTACGTTTTACTGACTTTTCAGGGCTCAGCTAAGAAACTTGAGGTAGTTGGAATGTGTATCTATCTGACAGCCTAAAGTTAATTCGAGATAAAGGAACTTGAAACCATTTCCTTTCTTGTCAGTGATGACATAATGAAACTGCAATTATAAGTGGAAAGAATTTTCTATCAGGTCTGTGGATCATGAGGATATGCAGTGAAATATGTCCTGCAGGACAAAAAGTATTAAACCTGCCTGCAGCTAATGTAAGCTTGGTGCTGCTCTGGATATGGGTAATTTGGTATTCAGGAGCACAGATGACAGTCTGAATACCCCCTACCTTAATGATTTAACATTCAGATATCCATGATATGTATGATGCAGCAAAGTCATCTAATTGTATCACTATGGTGTTTCCTATTAATTCAAGAATAAAATATTTAAATAGAACATGCAGCATATGCTTCAGGGCTCACTCTTCCCTTTACTCTTCTGCTTTAAACAAAGGTAATGGGAGGGGTCCTAATAAAGCAGTCCTAAATAGTTAGTTAGTGTTATCTGGGAGATGATCAGTAATTCACCTGATGTTTAGGAAGGAACATTCAGGGCTTTAAGACTTCGGGTGGTACCTTTAAAGTCATCACAGAGCAATCACCACAACTAAAACAACCCAGATGAGGAAATGTGCTGTTTATTTAAGTGGTTTCAATAGTCCAATACGAGCTGGAGATTTAGAGTGGCAAAAACTACCCCACCCATCAAGTTAACTCACCGTGCTCGGAAGTTTTAAAGGGGATTGGTGGCAGTAAATCACGTGCAATACTCTGACACTTCGTTCAAAAAATGAAGTTAACACTTTTTAAATTGGGAGTTAATGCTTCCCCCCTATCCCAATCACGGGATAAACCCATGTGCAAGCTTCAGCACAAACCGATCAGCCGAGGGCTGTCTCTGGCAGCACAGCCAACCTAAGACACAGAGAAGGCTACGGGGGATCACGGAGACGAGGTTTGGGCAGTTTAAATAAGAAAACTGCTTTTGCCTTGCATCTCCTTTTTTTACAAAAATTTATCTTGGCTGTGGTTCACCTTTAATTTGGCACTTACTGCTGCTTTCTGCTTCAAACAGAAAATACTGAAACTGATCCATAGCAGATAAAAGCTAATTGCTGTAAGAGTGTTTGAGTTAATGGTCTCCTCAGCGGTAGCCTATTAAACTCAAATGCATAATTCATATCCCATTTTGGAGGAAAAAAAGGTAGAATAAGTTATTTAAATTATTATTGATCTCACCATTACTGTGTTCAAATTCAAAATATTGTTAAAAATTGTAATGTCTATATATAACAATACAATATTGATACCTTTCAAAAAAGCTATGCCTGCTAAAACCTAAATATAAACCACAAATTTATCAGTGAAGAGAGAGGAAAAAGGTGATTTTAATGCAGACAATTTAATCTGGTATTTGTTAAACAGTCTGCTGCCCAATCCCGGGCCAATCTTAATCTTTCCATCTTCAAGAACATGAGATATAAAATATATATATGCTTAAACTATGGATATGCCCTTAGCCGATTAAATAATTTCCTGGCCCAAACTTTCTTTCACACTGCTCTGTGATACAAAACGTGCCTTTCTGAGGCTTTTTTCCCTTTTCTTTCCTTAGGAGTGGTGAGGTTTCACTGCAGGAACAACTATACCTCATTTTACCTATGATGGGAAGCTACTGTGTGCTCATGCAACCTAGCTTATAGTTTTGCTTTCATTCGTAACTATGTGGTGTGTCCAGGGAAACTCCTGAGGAAAAATGTGATAAAATTGATGCACCACACTGTATGACAAACAGGTGGAGAAAAAAAGTCTGATTTATGACTTTTTTTCCCCTCCTTACAGGTAACTTGGTAGGCTCCTGTTTTTGTGGCATATGAGGTAATTGCAGGTTCTGAGGCTGGAAATAGAGGCAAGTTGGTCAATTCACTGCTGGGTCTGTTGTAAACCCTGGGACCAGTGATTTGGCTCACTGGACCCTGTGGCTCCTAAACTTCACTGGGACACACTGTGGAGCTTTTAAGGTGGTTCTGGTCTGGGTAGTTCCCAGCACTTCAGCCATCAATATCCACGTGGTGTGTAACATGTTCAGAAAACACAGCTTTTCTCTGATCTCTGAGTTGTTAATTTTGAGTATTTATTTGTATGATTGTGATGGGCTGTAGTTTTTGCTGCTGAAAGAGTAGGAGTTAGAACTATCAGTTTGTACTTGCAGAAACAGGAAAGAAATATGTTGGGAATTGAAATCTTACAAAAGGCTCATGATTGTCATTACTGTTGGAAAACATCTCAGCATAACAGGTGGGTCCCCAAGTCAGTCAGATAAATCAGATTATGATGTGAATGGAAATGCTGAAATCTGCAGGTTGCAGAGATTCTTTTCTTGGTATTCCTATCTGTCCTTGTATGTGATAAAACTGGCTCTTTAGTAAAACCTGGAGCAATTCCAGGTAAAGTAACTAAGATTTGATCCTTCTCTATATACAGCTATTGCTTAAGTAAGAAGAAACTTAAAAAAAAAATCCAAGCCCTCAGAAATATAATGTATAAAAGTGTGTAAGAAATTGTGTTATGTATGTATATTATACCTGTCTTTTTACACAGTAATTTGGCCAGAGTCCCACCAGAATCTATTTAAATGAAAGAGGGTTGGATAAAGAAAGAAGGCAAATAACTCTGCTTTTGTTCCTGGTATTCAGAGAAGCAGGGGCAGACAGAGGGAAATGCCTGGACTCCAGCAGGGGGTACATATTTAGAACTAGAAATCACATTTAGGTATTTGTCTGACCAAAAAATTTTCAATCTTGCTGTTCTCAGATTGAATATCCTTGTTTCCTGCTGTGCTTGAGACCAAGAGTCAGTTACCTGTTTTGTATTACAAAGTTACCTGTTTTGTATTACAATGATGAATCTTTAAGGGAAAATAATTGTCTGGAACAGTCTGGAGTCATGTTCCTGAAGAGTACTACCTACTAATTTTGGTTTGACAAAAGTTAAGTACTTGGAGGAAAGAAAACATTATGAACTGGGATGTTAATAACTTGACTTCTGAAAAACGTCACCAAGAAAGCCACTTCAGAGCAAAACTGAAGCCTAAACTTCCTTGTTTTGACTCATGCTCTGTTTATTCAGGCAATACCGCATGCTGTGGACCAACAGCTAATTCAGAACCGCACTTACATGCCAGTGTGAACTTCACTGAGAAGCCTCAGTACATCTCTGGTATCAGCCTGGCAGGATCCCTCCACTTCCAGATCTGCCAGTGTCCATCCTCCTAAGCAAGCGTGAATATTTAGAGCTTTGGGCGAGCAGAACAAAAGTGTTACTGTAGTTCTCACAGGCTGACCAATTTGCAATCCCAAGACCAGAGGATGCTAAAGGGATTTATCTGTCACTACCAGGATCTGTGGAGAAGAATGATGGAATACTAAATCAGGTTCTGTACTAGAATGGATGTGTTAAAACCAAGTTCCCTGAGAGCCTCAACTGATCATACCCCTTTAACAAAGGATATTAATTATGTACATTAAAGCAAGACTAAGGGTGTATTCTTTACATCATTTTATGATGTTATCATGCAAAGAACGTAGTAAAGGGACAAGTGAAACAATTCTAAACAAATATATTTGAAATGCAAAACTCAATTCAGTCAAAAAGTATATATTAACAGAAGTAAACAAAACAAAGTTGTGAAGAATATAAAAAAAATCCCTTTCCCCCTCCCCTTTTAAATTAAATATCCTGAAAACAACTTAGATAAAAGTTTTTTCTGCTCAAAACCTGTCAAGTGAAGTTTCAGATATTTCTCATGGCAGCAATGCAGCTTTTGATGGTTCAGCTAGCATTTACTGTCTGTTAGAGGCACATATATGATGGCAGAGCAGCAAAAATATTTTGCAGCTTTAAAATAAAGCTTTATGCAGATTCTAAGGCAAGATAAACAATTATGTCTTG